CGCGGCGGCCGCCGCCGCGCGCGCTCCCTCCGCCCCCATCTCGCGCGTGCGCGCGTCCCCTCCGCCGTTGGCGCGTCAACAGCCAGCGGCCCAGGCCTTGAGGCGCGTTTGAGGAGGGGGTTGCTTGCGGCCTCTTTGGCCGCTCTTCTTGCTCCTGCCGCTCTTAGTGGCCCCTGGAGGACTTATCCCTCCTTGGGCTTTGAAGGCCGAAGCCAGGCTGAGGCGGAGATAGGACCGTGTAGGGCCTGCGTCAGCTCCAACTTAGGGCCCTCAGCGTCGTTGTAGGTGCCGCTACCACCGCGTCACCCTACTCCCCGCTCCTCCCTCCCGCGCTTGTTCCGCCCACATCTCTCAGGAGGCAGTAGGCTTTTCATCTCCCAGGAGGGTCTCACCTTGGCCTTCAGACGTCTGCCGAGAGGGGCTAGAAGGGCATAATTAGCATAAAGAAGAAAGTGGCTAGACCAAGTTCAGGCTCTAGCCCCAGGAATCCTTGACAGGAAGCGTGGGGTTGCTGCCCAGCCTCCCACGCAGTGTAGGTGAAACTGGGCCCCTTTGAGGGACTGTGACTAAGGACAAAACCGTGATAAATATTATTTATGCGCCCTTGGGCCGACGGGGAGGGAAAAAGTAAAAGACGAGTTAATTTTCATAAATTGCAAAGGTGAAATGCAGAACTATAAAATGCCATTTAAGAGTTGTCTTGAAATCTTACCAAGTTTGACAAGAGTTTTGGTGCGCGGTAACTTTTCCCCTTGTATGCGGTCACATGTCTTTCCTGCAACACTGTGTACATAGAAGGTAGATCAGTTAAAAATTGCAGGGCTTCAAGATAAATAGAAAACTGCCTTCGCTATACTACTATTTAAATAGATCTCAGAGAAGTCAATCTGTGATTGAGGAAAAGTCACTCCCAACTTATTTAACTGGGTATATTTTATTTTGCAACGCATGGTAAGATGCACACATTAGGCAATAGTAGACTTTTAAACTCACTTATAGGACCTTTTCCAAGAGGCTTATCTACTTAAACCCGCAAGGCAGGTGGGAGTAAAGCGAAATTCTTGTAGATGAGAAAATTGAGTTACAAAAATATGTCAGTTTAGAGTTGCAAGGAGTCTGTCGCTGATGGATACACCTTAGGTCAATTATCACCTGTTTTATCCACTAAACCAGAAATTCCTCAATTGTTTACTTCCAGGTATCTTGACAACCCCCGCCCCCCATTCCTCCCGTCCCACCCGTCCTCCGCCTGCCTTATGTTTGGTAGGCAGTGCCTAATGTCTGAAATAAACAAATTTGGGAGTTAGTCCTGGAGATCCCAAATCACAGAGGACTCTAAAAAGTTTGAAATTTGAGCTTGAAATTTTCTGTCATAGCAAATTACAGCTCAGCAAAAAGTTACCATGAAACAATTCAATTTCCATCCTAACAATAGCAAATGTTTATTAATCCCTAGCTAGAGGTGAGATTTTTGAGACAGGCTTAAAAATGATCATTTCCTTTGAATTGCTTCTTTATTCACCTCATCTTTAGGTGGCAGCACTACTATATAATATCTTTAAAACTACAGTCTTCTGCAACTTGATATCAAAAGAAGTGTTTTGTCCTAAATGCTTCCAACCATATTGTGGAGCTTAGAAGTTGGTGAAGATATGAAATCATAGCTGAGAATTAGGATACGTAGGCAGTTGTAGAGTAGGAAAAACAGAAAGGCTTTCAGAGAAATTATTAAAGTACATGGAGCTACTGAAGGAAAAAAAATTTTAGTTTTTTTTTAGCTGTATGAGGAGCAAGTAGCATCTTTACTGTAAACCTTATCTCTTATTAAAATATAGCACAAGATAACCTAAAGCAAGCCGTAGTTTCTCAGCACTGCATATTTATCAAGCATTTACAAGTTTAAAGTTACTAGTTGTATAGTTGCCAGCATTCTAACTATAGCTTTAAATGTAGGTGCAGTTTTCCTCATTAACCTGCATCAGACTTACGAAGATCCCAAATAGGACCTTATTGTTGACCCTTGTGGAAGGGTCCTTTCCTCACTTCCTAAATTGTTCATATACAAAGAAAACCATCACTCAAATGCAGAGAAGTGAGACGGCAAGCTAAACCAAATGTAAAATGATAGTAATTTACAGATATTCTATATCTTAATTTCACATTTTTTGAGGGTAAAGTGATGTGTGCAGGTTATTTGGGTCAAATGTTTTCTAAGTAGAACTTGGTCATAACTAATTTTGTACATTTATAGTAATTCTCCCTGTATGCCTTTATCCAAACAACCAAACAAAATTTAATTTATATGCATTTCAAATAGACTGCATTATATTTACAACATAAACATAACCATCAAGGGATATAGAGGTATGACCATCAGGAATGTGAAATCAAATTATTTTTGAAGAGATGATCAAGTCTTAATAAAGTATTTCTTGATGGCGGCCTTCATCTTTCTCAAATTAAATTTGGGGAAGGAGTCTTAAGCAGATTGGTAGAACTCAAACTCAGCAGTATTATGTCAAGATTTTTAGGCTCTCTGGTGCCAGCGAATCATGCAGCCTGGGGGCCTTGGCTCCAAACTTTTGCCAACTCCATTTTGGCAGTAAAGTGTTCTGTTGAACAAAGTTTGCACGTGTTTGGGGTGTGAAGTGGTTACCCAGGCATTTATCTGGTTTTATTCCAGTTTTGGGACTTGAGGATGAGGGTCAGAAGCATGAGACTTGTACAGTTTGTATGTGCCCTGAAACAGACTATGTTAGTGATTTTGAATTTTCATTTAAACGAGGACAGTTTTTTCTTTGTTGGAGTAGGAGTTATTGAAGTGGACCCTTTAGTTTATTCTTTAAATGCTAACATGATATTGAACCAGTTCTCAGAAGCAGGTAAGCAGGGCCCTCTCTGCTGAAGGTATAGAGCTATAGAAAATCACTCCTCATCCTTCTGTCTATAATGCCACCTAAATGTGTTTATCCAGATGAAACTCAGTAAATAATAATATGCAACTTGAAAGCAAAGAGGTTCGTAATTATTAAAATGATCTCATTGTTAGATCATATTTAATTATGAGCCTCTCATCCTTATGGGTATCAGTTGTCTGGCTTCATCCTTTTTTAAACTATCTTCTCCCATCCTGAAGTCATTGGTTAAGAAACAATGTTTGTGCTAATTTGTCTTATTTCACGCGTGTCTCTCCCTGAGGGAAACATATACAAACAGTCTCAATTTCCATTGTTGTTTTTTTTTTTCAAGTAATTTTAATAGAAAATCCTTGCATAATCTGGGGTAACATCATTTGAAAGCCATTAAAATGCTGTTGGAGTATTCTTTTGTTTTTGTCTTTTGTCTCCCTCCCCCCTCCCCCATCCCCCACTCCCAGCCTCATTTAAGAGTAATGGAAAGAGAAAAGTGCCAAAGTAAAAGATACTATTTTACCTTTAACAATGACCAATGAAATGTCAATTTATAGGATACAAGTATAGTAATTTGAAAATGGTAGTTATTCTTCAAACTTTTGCCAAGAGTGTGGCCTAAATTCATACTTTCACCTTTCTCTTTTCTTTCCTTCTCTTTAAAAGTAACTCACAAGTCACAATTAATATATGGATGAGGTTATAGATGGAGAGGAAAGCTGGGCCTTTCCAAAGAGTGGATCTATCTGGACTGGAAAGTGCTAGTGAATGTTGTTGCATATTTAATAGTGACCTCCAACCTCTTTTGATTTCTTACTTTAAATATGAATGTATTGCCATTTTACTACCTGGAGCAAGACTAAATACATACCTGTAGGTATGTGCATACAACTAGAAACCACTGCCATTTCGGCCATTTTTACAACTGAATGCAATAGCATTTTGCAATTAGATGAAGAGCAGTTGGGTTTCTTTCTATGGTGAGTAAAATGTGTCAGGGGAAAAATACAAAGTAAATTCTTTACTATTTTGTGCTATAGTGGTTGTTTTTTTTTTTTTCTTTTAAGTATACTTTTCTTGTCTACTTAAATACTGAAAGATAACTATTAAATGTAAATGTAGTGCAAATGTAAATTTACTAATTAGTTTTACTTCCTAGATACTAAATCAATATTTATTTGATAAGTACGTATATAAAGAATAAATGTTTTTTAATTACTATTTTTGAATCCCATTAATATACATATAACATAAGCATATTAAAGTTGATGTTTAGATGACTTTTTTTTGGCCTTGAATTTCCTTTTTAAAGTAGGTATTATCTGCTGCAAAAATTCATTGGAACCGACATTTACAGTCTATTTACAGTCTTTGTTTATTCCATTTGGTGTGACTATTGATGCATTTCATTGTGGAAATATGTGTTTGATTAAGAGCTGCTGCCCAGGACAACACACGTTAAGTAAAATATAGATAACGTAATATATTACATTCTTAAAGTAGGAAAAAATGTTGATTTAGAAACACATCTGGGCCCAAGGATTTTGGATAAAGGATTGCAAACCTATGCCAGATTTCTTCTTGATTCTCCGATTAAATATCACCATTGGTGTTATTCTTTAGATATCTTTTATTCAATAGTGTAATGTTTATTTTATATAGTGCTCTTATTATGCACCTAGCACTGTGTAAATGCCATATATGTGTAAAAACTCATAAAACCCTCATAGCAACCTTATGAGTAAATTCTATTATCCTTATTTCACAGATGAGGAACCTGAAGCACAGAGAGATTTTTAAAACCTGCCAAAATCGCACAGCTACTAAGTGGCAGAGCTAGGAATTGAACCTGGACAATATCTTTGAAAGCTTAAATTCTTTGCCACTAAACTAACTCTGCTTCTCCCTATCCTTCTCTCCCATCCCTCTCCTTTGAAAAAGTTTTGAATATCAGCCCTTTCCAAAAGTATATTTTTTTCTTTCTGCTTTGAAATATCAGACATCAAAATTTAACATTTCTTTACAAATATCTTTCAGTAATTTTTTTCATTTTGTTTATTTGGTCCAGCTATAATTTTAGCCAGTTCTATTTCCAGGTGAGATAATTCTTAGTCTGATAAATTTTCATATTAACCTTACCTTAACCATCCTTTTCCTTTCCTCTGAATATTCTTGGATAATTATGAGGCACCTCTTAATATTGTGGCTTTATCAGATGTTAGATCACATTAAAAATTTGGACCTAGTTTAGGGAGCAGTAGCATCTGCTAAAAAGATCTGTCATTGCTTCGTTGGTTTCTCTCACTCAATGAATTGCATAACTTGCTTCAGATCTCTTTAATCCTACACATATTTAAAAAATTTACATTTTTGAGTTAGGATTTTGTTTTCATTAGTTTGTCCTCAGATAAGAGTTCTTCCATAGCAATTAGAAACTGAGATAGTTTCTATTCCTATTTATTTATTTTTTATTTATTCATTGGCTTTATAAAAAAAGATTGATTATATATATCATGAAGTTGGGCAAAGACTCTCTTATGACTGTATAACAGGTAGGGTCAATTTAAGCAAGTATAATATATTGAACTCTCCAAGTATCTATTCTTGATTTTCCCAGAGATTCATTGTGAGACATTAAACAAATCACTTTAGTCATTCTCTGTGAAAATTAATGTGTTGTCCTTGAAAACAAAGATGAAGGTTCTGACACACACTTAGTAAAGCATTATCTTTAGTGTTATGTTGATAGACTTGTTCTGAGCCAAACACAATTTCTCTGGGGTCATTCAATATCTCATGTTTGCTAAGTTTAGGGGTGCAGTTCATGGCCACCAGAGCTAAAAAAGAATTAAACCCATCAATTTTACCTAATTAGCATACTGCTGAAACAAATGAGCCAACAAGTCAGTTATTAAATTGCTGAGGAAGAAAAAAGAGAGACTGAATAAATCTGTATGTGCACTGAGATTGGCAATAAAGTGTATCAGTTTATTATATGAGAAACTGAGGGCTTTGCCAAGGCTCACCTTGAATAACTTTCTGCCTCTATCTACTGAGGGATCAAAAAGATGAGATTTTCTCCTAAGATCATGCCACAGAGACACAGCTATTCTCCACTAGTTTCTCTGCAGTATTCTACATTCATAAGGTTCGGCACAAAACTTTTGAAGCACACCATTAATATCTACCAAGGTGTAACACTGTCTTAGGGGTAAAAATTTAACATTTACATTTTCTCTCAATTGCACATAAGCAAACTTTAGTGAATTCATGTGATGAACAACCTGTTTTCTTAGCTCTTCTGTTTTTCTTAACTTTTATTTAAGAGATCCCACCTCTATTCAGTGTGGACTGGGTAATCCAATCTCCTAGGTTCAAAACTCTGCTTTCAAATTTCTAACTATGTGACTTTGGGGAAATTACTTAACCTCTATAGGCCCCAGTTTCCTCATATATCAAATGAAGATAAAAATACCAACTTTCACATAGGTATATTATGAGAATTAGTTAATTTATAAAAAGCGTTATTTTATTTTTTTAATTTTATTTGGTAACACTGGTTAATAAAATTACATAGATTTCAAGTGTACAATTCTATAATACATCATCTGTATATTGCATTGTGTGTTCACCACCCAAAGTCAAATCTCCTTCTATCACCATATATTTGACCCCCTTTTCCCTTTTCTACCCACCCCTTTCCCTTTGGTAACCACTAAACTGCTGCCCGTATCTATGAACTTTTCTTTGTGTTGTTTGCTGCTTTCAGTTTTATAATCTCACATGTAAGGGAAATCATATGGTTCTCAATTTTTTCTGTCTGATTTATTTCACTTAGCATAATAATCTCAAGATCCATCCATGTTATTGCAAATGACAGTGTTCCATCTTTTCTTATGGCTGAGCAATATTCCATTGTATGTATGTATGACATCTTTATCCAATCATCTATCAAAGGATATTTTAGTTGTTTCCATATCTTGGCCACTCTGAGTAATGCTGCAGTGAACATGGGGGTGCATATAGCTTTACAGATAAAGGTTTTCAGATTTTTAGGATAGATACCCAGAAGAGAGACTGCTGGGTCATATGGTAAGTCTATTTTTAATTTTTTGAAGAACCTCCATACTGTTTTCCACAGTGGCTGTACCAATTTACATTTCCACCAGTAGTGTATGAGGGTTTCTTTTCCCCCACAGCCTCTCCAACACTTATAACTTGTCTGGTTGATAACAGCCATTCTAACAGGTGTGAAGTGGTATCCCATTGTGGTTTTGATTTACACAATAGTTAATAGCTAATGAGGTTGAGCATATTTTCATATATATGTTGGCTGTATGTTTTCTTGGGTCTGTTCAGGCCCTCTGCCCATTTTTTAATTGGATTGTTTGTTTTCTTGTTGTTGAGTTGTATGGGTTCTTTATATATTTTGGATGTTAGCCCCTTATTGGAGGTGTTGATTGCAAATATCTTCTCTCATTTGGTTGGTTATCTTTTTGTTTTGTTGATGGTGTCTTTTGCTGTATAGAAGCTTTTTAGTATAATATAGTCCCATTCATTTATTTTTGCTTTTACTTTCCTTGCCTTAGAGGTCAAATTCATAAAATCTTCTCTAAGACCAAAGTCCATAGTTTAGTATCTATGTTTTCTTCTATGCAAATTATTATTTCAGGTCTTATATTTAGATCTTTGATCCATTTTAAATTAAGTTAACTTTGGCGTATGGTGAGAGATAATAATCTAGTTTCATTCTTTTGCATGTTGCTTTCAAATTTTTCCATCACCATTTATTGAAGAGGCTTTCTTTTTTCTATTGTATATTTTTGGATTCTTTATCAAAAATCATTTGTCTATACATATGCGGGTTTATTTCTGGACTCTTACTTCTGTTCCATTGGTCTGTGTATCTATTTTTCTGGCAATGCCATGCTGTTTTGATTATTGTAACTTTGTAGAATAATTTGAAGTCAGGGAGTTTGATACCTCTGGCCTTGTTCTTTTTTCTCAAGAGTGCTTTGGCTATTCAGGGTCTTTTGTAATTCTATATAAATCTGATGATTTTTTGTTCTATTTCTTTAAAAAAATGCCTTTGGGATTTTGATGAGGATTGCATTAAATCTGTATACTGCTTCTGGTAACATGGCCATTTTAAGTATGTTGATTTTTTCAAACCATGAACATGAAATATCTTTCCATTTCTTCATGTCTTCTTCAATTTCTTTTAATAATGTCTTGTAGTTTTCAGTGTATAGGTCTTTACATCCTTTGTTAAGTTTATTCCTAGGTATTTTTTTTTGTTGTTGTAATTGCAAAAGGAAATTTTTTCATTTATTTTTATGAAATTTCATTGTTAGTACATAGGAACGCAATGGATTTTTTTGCACTTTTGCAACTTTACTGTATAAATTGTTTCTAATAGTTTTTTTGTGGAGTCATTAGGGTTTTCTATATAAAGAATCATGTTGTCTACAAAAAGTGACAATTTCTTTCTTTTGCCTGATGTCTCTAGCTAGGACTTCTAATACTATGTTGAATAAGAGTGGTGAGAGCAGGCATTCTTGTCTTGTTCCTGATCTTAGAGGAAAAGCTTTCAGTTTTTCACCATTAAGTATATTAGCTGAGAGTTTGTCATATATGGCCTTTATTATGTTGAGGTACTTTCCTTCTATACCCATTTTGTTAAGCGTTTTAATCATAAATGGATACTATATCTTGTCAAATACTTTTTTGCATCGATTGATATGATCATATGATTTTTATCCTTTATTTTGTTTATGTGGTGTATCATGTTGATCAATTTGTATATGTTGAACCATCCTTGCATCCCTGGAATGAGCCCCACTTAATTGTGACATATGAAAAGCATTTAGAAAAGGATCCTGTGGCACAAAATTTCCTGTCTTCCTTTCAAGGCCCAACTCAAGTTCTCTTTCTCTCTCTTTCTGTTTTTTCTTTCTTCAGATTTCAGGCTCACTGGCTTTGGCCTAAGATTAAAACTGTTCTCTTCCTCACTAGATTCATCAAGTGCATTGTTTTGAAAACCCCCCTTTTCTCAGTATTGGGCCATTTTACTCTTTCTCTCTCTGAACACCTTTTTATGAGTTCTGTACAGTGAGTGGTAAGTCTTCCATTTACACATTGAAAGGTTTTTCTGTAGAGTAGGAGTTCCTTGGGAGTAGGTGCTATGTCTTAATTATCTCTATTATTTCAGTCCCTTTCCCCCTCTCAGCTGCACAGTCTATACTAAAGAAAGGTTTGTAGAATAAATGAGTAATTTATTTAGCTTTTGTAATTTTTATTTATTTATCCTGGGTATTCTGAATCTCCAGTTTTCCTGAAAATTCTCTCGCCCCTTTATGTCTGGAAGTTTTGACTTCACCTGGTGATGCTGCGATCCCATTCTGGATCATCACAATTTCTTGGCAGGTAAGAGGTTCAGTTTACCACATACTCCATCCATATGTTAGAAAAGAAAATTCCCATTTGATTCACTTAGATTTAATTTTACTTATATTCTCTTAGTTCCAGCTAGACTGATTATTCTCTTTAAAATCAATATCTTTCAGAGGGGTTCTATTTTGCAGAACTCTTTGTCTCATTTCTTATTTAAAGATAGGGCCATATCCCCCTCAGTTTCTCTACCTGCAGAATAAAAATTAGCTCTCCTTCACTTGGAGAAAGTGAGGATGAAGTATATCAGTCTCTTAAAAATTTTCTTTTTTAATACATACAAAAGATATATATAACACATAAGCTTAATAACATAACAAACTATGCAACCTGAGAATTAGAACATTCCCCAGTAACTTGCATCTACTTTTGTGTTCCTCCTTTATCTCTTCTCCCTGCCTTCAGAGGTAAACAGTATCATGCATTTTGTGCTTTTCATTTCATTGCTGTTTTTTTTTAAATTTAGGCTTATAACAAATGTATATATGCTAAAACAATATGTTGTTTCATTTGTGTGTTTTAGAGCTTTATAAAAATGCTATCATCCAGCATATAGTTTTCTGGGATTTTCCCTTTTAACTTAAAATAATGTTTCCAAGATTCATTCCTGTTGTTGTATATAATGATTATTCATTTTCGGTACTTTATAGCATTCTATTGTGTGAATATATCACAATTCTTGTTGATACATAGTTATAAAAATCATAAATTATAAAATTATAAACATTGCTGTAATAAAAATTCTTATGCATGCCTCCTGGTCACACATGCAAGTGTTCCTATTGGCTATATACCTAGGAGTAAGTTTGCTGGGTTGCGAAGTATGCAAATATTCAACTTTGTGAGATAATTAATGCCAAATAATTTCCCATTCTTCCACAGTTTATAATAAATCTCAGTATTTGGTATTTTCACACTTAATTTTTGCCAGCCTAGTTGGAGTAAAATGGTATATATCTACTTTTTATAGAATGGAAGAGTCATCTTTACCTAAAGCTTTTTAAACTTCCTCTTTCTATATTAAGAGCTTGTAGCCTCATTTTTTAAACCATGTTTTTATTTTCAATTATAGTTGGCATACAATATTATATTAGTTTCAGATGTACAACATTGTGAGTAGATGTTTATAAAGTGATCACCCCGATCTAGTACCCATCTGACACTGCACATAGTTATTACAATATTATTGACTATATTCTTTATGCTATACCATCTCCATGACTATTTCATAACTACCAATTTGTACTTCTTAATCCTTTACCCCATTTTCAGCACTTCCACTAACCCCTCTCCCAGCTGGTAACTCTCAAAATGTTCTCTGTATCTATGAGTTTGTTTCTGTTTTATTTGTTTACTTTGTTCTTTAGATTTCACATGTAAGTGAAGTCATACAGCATTTGTCTTTTTCTGACTTACTCCACTCAGCACGATACCTCTAGGTCCATCCATACTGTTACAAATGGCAAGATTTCATCCTTTTTTATGGCTGAGTAATATTTCATTGTATATTTGTACCACATTTTCTTTATTTATTCATCTATTGATGGACACCCAGGTTGTCTCCATATGTTGGCTATTGTAAATAATGCTGCAATGAACTATGACTGCACACATTCCTTCAAAGTAATATTTGGAGTTTCTTTAGATAAATACCCAGAGGTGGGATTCCTGCATCCTTCTTTGTCTCTTGTTATAGCTTTTGTTTTAAAGTCTATTTTGTCAGTATAAGTATTGCTACCCCAGATTTTTTGTTTGTTTGTTTCCATTTTTCATGAAATCTTTTTCCATCCCTTTACTTTCAATCTGTGTGTGTCTTTCTATCTGAAGTATCTCTCATAGGCAGCATATGTAAGGGTCTTGTTTTCTTATTCATTCAGCCACCCTATCTTTTGATTGGAGCAATTTTTCTTTTTCATTTGAAGTGCTTGTTGATAGATAATGTAGTTATTGCTACTTTATTAGTCATATTTTTGATGCACACTTTTTTCTTCTTAAAGAAGTCCTGCCAATATTTCCTACAGGTCTGATGTCGATGAACTCTTTTAGCTTTTTCTTGTTTAGGAAGTTCTTTATCTGTTATTCAATTCTAAATGCTAGCTTTGCTGGGTAGAGTAATCTTTGTTGTAGATCCTTGCTTTTCATCACTTTGAATATTTCCTGTTATTCCCTTCTGGCCTGCAAAGTTTCTGTTGAGAAATTGGCTAACAGTTTTATGGGAGCTCTCTCATAGGTAACTAACTGCTTTTCTCTTGCTGCTTTTAAGATTCTCTGTTTATCTTTAACCTTTGGCATTTTAATTATGATGTGACTTGGTGAGGGCCTCTTTGGGTTCATCTTATCTAGGATTCTCTGAGCTTCTTGGGCTTGTATGTCTATTTCCTTCACCAGGTTAGGGAAGTTTTGTCATTATTTCTTGAGATAGGTTTTCAATTCCTTGCTCTCTTTCTTCTCTTTTTGATATCCCTGTGAATGTTGTTATGCTTGATAGTGTCCCAGAGGCCCCTTAAACTATCCTCATTTTTTGGATTCTTTTCTCTTGTTGCTGTTCTGATTGAGTGTTTTCTGCTGCCTTATCTTCTAAATCACTGATTTGATTTTCCGCTTCATCTAATCTACTGTGAATTCCTCCTAAGGTATTCTTCATTTCAGTTATTGTAGTCTTCATTTTCAACTGATTCTTTTTTATGTTTTCTATCTCCACTTTTATGTTTTCTATTTTTTTGTTAAAGTTCTCACTGAGTTAATCTACTTTTCCTCTATGGTCTTTGAGTATCTTTATAACAGTGTTTTAAACTCTGCATCTGGTAGATTGCATATCTCCTTTTTTTTTTTTTTTTTTTTTTTAAATTTTTTTTTTACTTTGTTCTGTTCTCTCATGTGGGACATGTTTCTTTGTCTCCCCGTGTTGGCTGCCTCTCTGTATTTGTTTCTTTGTATTAGATAGGGCTCCTAAGTCTCCCAGTCTTAATAGAGTGGCCTTATGTGGGGGGTGTCCTGTGGGGCCCAGTTGCGCAGTCCTCCCTATTTACCTGAGCCAGGTGCTCAAGGTGTGTCCATGGTGTGGGTTCTGTGTGCCCTCCTGTTGTAGTTGAGCCTTTATTATTGTTTTCACATCGATGGGAGGGATTGTCCCTTGGACCAATTGGCTGTGAGGACTGGCCCGTGAGGAGCCAACCCTATGGAGAAGGATTCACTTTAGCAGTCTGCCCTTTGGATGTGTTCTCCTCAGATGCTGCCCTGGGTGGTGCTCCAGCTCCAGTACCAGTCAAAGCAGGCTACTGTGTGTGCTATCTCAAGGGCCTCCTGGGAAAGGCCTAGCTACAGCCCAAATTCAACTGCAGCCTGTGCAATTCCAGGGCCACCTGGTAAGAGTCACCAAGCAATCTGAAGATGACTACCACCTGTGCTGGGCTTATAGGTGCCATGAGGAGCCAAGCCACCAAGCCACTGAGGCTGGCTGCCACTAGTGCCAGGTTCGGTGCTGCTCAGCAAGAGGTATGGGCATGCTGAGGACAAATACTTCTTCTTTAGGTTTTGTGTACCTTTGAGAGATTTATGAAGGTCCACGGCATGAGCCAAGATAGGCCATTTGTATGGAAAAAACCACAAGAGGTAGCTTGGGTGGGCCTACAAGTTGGGGGAGGCGGGTCTCAGGGAATCACCTGGGTGGAGTGACCTGTTTAACCAGACTGATTGAGACTCAAATATGGTGGCTGCCTGCATCTGCATGCTGGGTTAGGGAAGGGCTCAATAAAGGAACTATGGATATTGCCAGCACTTCTGTCCAGGAGAAAGCCACCCCTCCAGCTCTCACCCCGGAGCCATACAACTCTGTTTCTCCTCATGTGTCCCTAGCACTCCTAGAGCAGCTACCCCAGCACTGGAGCGCAGAGCAAGTGGTTATGTCTCGGAATAAGTCCACATATGGGCCTTTTAAGAGGAGTGCTGCGGCTCCTGCAGACTCCTATCTTGCTCAGCCACAATCTCCACTGGTTTTCACAGCCAGAGGTTACAGGGACTTCTCTCTGGAACCCTGGGGTGAGGAACCCAGTGTAAAGCTGGGACCCTGTGCTTCTTCAGTGGGGCTTGCGCAGCCAAGATACCCTTCCCGATTCTCGACCACCACATGCGGTTGTGGGACAGGCCCATTTAGTGTCTCCGTTTCTCCTACCAGTCTCAAGGTTACCTCTTACATATGTCCCCAGTTGTAGGACTTCTGTTCAGCCAGATGTCAGGCTACTCCCAGTGATGGTTGTTCTGTAGTTTCATTGTAATTTTTATGTGCTCATGAGAAGAGGTGAGCACAGCATCTACCTTCTATGCCATCTTGACCAGAATCTGTCCAGTCTCATTTGACATTACTGTGTCTGGGAGTTCCTTTGAGGAAAAGCCATTTATTTGTGTAATAGTTTCTACTAAGAGTATAAAAACTGAGATGGGGGAAGGCTGCTAAATAGGTTGACTGTTGCTTTTAAGTTGATCTTGAATAAATACCAAATTATACACACTTTAAAATTTCTTGTTAATACTCTGCAGAATTGGAAATGTGCAAAATTATATTCTTTACTATTGGCCCATTACAAATTAATCTGGTCTTGAGTTTACACCTATCTGAAAAATTATTTTAAATAAAGTCTCCTTCAATCTGTTGATCTGGAATATTTCCACTGAATCAAATGTAGTAAAGCTGTCTTTGTGTATTTCCTTATATTTTAATTGTACCAAAGAAATTCAACTCACCCTCCTTTGACATGGTTACATAATGCAACACAAATTAATCTCTGAAAGAAACTTCTCAACTCCAAATGTTTATCTTACTACTGTTATCCACTGAATTGACCCACACACGTTTACCAGGAGAATAAGCCCAGATGGTATTGCTACATTGTGCCCTAAAATGTGTGGTTTTACTTTAATTGAAAATGCCATCTTATATATAAATGGTTTTCATCAATAACTAAAAGCATGTGGAGATAGAAAAAGAGAATCCAAGACAAGAGGCAATATATGTATATTTTAAAGAAAAACTTTTATAGTTCCTTATGTTTATGGTCTTTAAAAACAAACACCAGTTTATCATTTGCCTATTTTTTCTTGCCTTTGAATGAAAGATTTTTGAAGGGACTGTGTATTTGTTTTATGTTTCTTTTTGTATTGTTAAATATATTGTCATATCCCAAAGGGGAACTCTGAGAATATTAATTGAGTGCAAAAGTCCTCTCTGTACCATCAATATTTGTTGACTGACAAAATGGCTGAGTGAATTCATGACCAAACTATAAGAAAGCTGCAGTTACTTTCTTTTCTATGGTACAGTAGCTATTATTAAAAATAATCATTCATCAGGGTAAATACATTTATGCCAGGTGAGTGTTTTTCAACTCTGTTTATATAGCTAACACTGTGTAGTCAAGTTGCTATCAGCCATTGTGTTTTTTCAATTCTCCCTTTTAAAGCCAAGTGTTAATCCTCATTTCTGCATTTCATAATGCCAGATATTCACTTCTATACTGATCAAGGGACATCAGGAGCTGCTCAAGGAAGACTGACTTCTGCCAAAGCTCCCTTCAAATGTGGACTTTTTAAATATATCATGCAGTGTAAGGGGGCTTTTTGTGTTTTGTTTGCTTTTGTTATTTTGTAAATGGTTATCTATAAGATGAGGCAAAGGTAGAGGTTAAGCTGTCACTTCTTACGTGGATTACAACATGACAACATCCTCACTATAGTAAGCAGCTTTGAAGAAGGCCCTCAGTGATTCCTGCCTTCTGGTATTCATACCCTTTTGTAGTCCTCTCCCACATTATATGAAGATTGGTCTGTATGACCAACAGAATATGGCAGAAGTAGTAGTATGTCTCTTGCAAGATTAGGTTATGAAAGACTGCAAGGACACAAGGACCAAATTGGAACCTTAGCTAGTTCTGAAAAGAACTGTTTCAGAGGCTAGGAAGTGTTAACCTGAATCCCGAGCAAAGAAGGCCCAGGACTTTCTTGGATCTAGAAAAGTGAGAGAGAAAAAAATCAGGATATGTGAATAGAAATAAGTAGGAATTTTGCTAAAAGATAGTCAAAAAAAAGAGAGCACCTAATAAAAAGAAGTGAAATACTGATACATGCTTCAACATGGTTGAACCTTAAAAAACATGCTAAGTGAAAAAAAACAGTCAGAAAAGACAGGTATTGTACAATTCCATTTTCATGTAATGATCAGAATAAACAAATTTATAGAGGCAGAATGCAGATTGATAGTTGCCTAGGGCTGGAAGTTTGGGGGTGAGGATGGGAGTTTGGGGTGTGATGGCTTAGTTCAAGATTTCTTTTGGAAGTAATAAAATTGTTCTAAGATTGATTGTGGTGATGGTTGCAAAACTGTAAATCTAGTAAAGCCACTGAATTGTACACTTTGAATGAGTGAATTATATGGTATATGAATTATATCTCAATAAGGCTGTTTTGTAAAAAGACTGTGGCTTCCATCTTGGGCTTTTTCTCTTCTATCCCTTGTTCTGGAGGAAGTCAGCTGCCATGTCTCGAAGAAACTCAGAAAACCTAACTATGGAAACACATAGCAGGGAACTGAGGTTTCTAACTAACAGTCAGTGATCATTGCTAAACCTATAGGTGAAAAGTGGTGTCTTATTGAAGATTTAACTTGCAGATTCCAATTATGAGTGATATTAGGCATATTTAATATGCTAAAAGGCATTTGTAGGAGGAGAATAGAAATAAGAACACAAACGCTATAAGCATTTTTAGGAAACATTTTTAATCCCAAGGCACCAAATATGAAGGCTAAAAGTAGATGGAGAAATGACAAATGACTTAAGTTAGAGAAAGGTAAAATTCAGGTACTGCAGAGAAGGAGGACACCAGTAATCAGCACATGGATTTGTCCCATGGAACCTCAGATGGAACAGAATTGAGAGTCCAAAAATAAACCCATATTTTTATAGGCAAATAATTTTCAACAAAAATGCCAAAAATATACAGTGGAGAAAGGAAAGCCTTTTCAATAAGTGGTGCTGGGAAAATTGGAAAGCCACCTGCAAAAGAATGAAACTAGATTGTTGTCTATCACCACACACCAAAATTAACTCAAAATAGATTAAGGACCTGAATATAAGACCTGAAACAATTATATACATAGAAGAAAACATAGGAACTAAACTCAAGGATCTTGGTCTTAAAGAGGATTTTTATGAATTTGACCTCAAAGGCAAAGAAAATAATAGCTAAAATAAATGAATGGGACTACATCAAACTAAAAAGCTTCTGTTCAGCAAAAGAAACCATCAACAAGGAAAAGAGACAACCATCCGAATGGGAAAATATATTTGCAAGCAACACTTCCAATAAGGGCCTAATATCCAAAATATACAAAGAACTCATACTACTCAATAACAACAACAAAAAACAAACGATCCAATCAAAAAATGGGCAGAGGACCTGAACAGATACTTCAAATGGCCAACAAATATATGAAAAGATGCTCGACATCACTAGCTATTAGGGAAATGCAAATCAAAACCACAATGAGATACCATGTCACACCTGTTAGAATGGCTATAATCAACAGGACAAGTAATAACAAATGTTGGAGAGGATGTGGAGAAATAGGAACCCTCATACACTGCTGGTGGGACTGCAAATTGGTACAGCCACTATTGGAAAGCGGTATGGAGGTTCCTCAAAAAACTAAGAATTGTCTTACCATATGATCCAGCAATCCCTCTGCTGGGTATTTACCCCAAAGACTTGAAAACTCATATTCGAAAAGATATCTGCACACCAATGTTCATAGCAGCATTTATCCATGGTGGCCAGAGCATGGAAGCAACCGAAGTGTCCTGTGATAGATGATTGGATAAAGAAGCTGTGGTACATATATACAATGGAATATTACTCAGCCGTAAGAAGAGATGAAATACTGCCATTTGCAACAACATGGATGGACCTTGAAATAATCATCCTAAGTGAAATAAGCCAAACAGAAAAGGTTGAAAGTCACATGATATCACATATGTGGGATATAAACCTAAAAGCAACAAATGAACAGGACAAACAGAGACTCATGGACATGGACAATGAACTAGTGGTTACTAGAAGGGAGGGAGAAGGGGGGGAAGGGGAAAATAAAAAAATAAAATGTTAAAAAAATTATGTTATATAGTATGAAAAAAAATAAGAAACTGGCATTTAAAAAAAAATAGAATCAGGTAGCACCCAGATTCTCACCCTCCACTCCTACCCCAAGTAGTCAGATGCTTTCTTCTCCTTTACCCTATGGAAGATGGAGGGCATTTTCTCTGGAGAAATTGAGGAATGAGTTTGAAAACAAAGGTATGGTATAGAAACACGAAAGTCTATATCCTAAACAGATCACCTTGCTTTTTCCCTACCCAGTTTCAGAAAGCTAACAGCTAGACTGTTGCTATCTCCAGGCAACTTTTTTTTTTTTAAAGCCA